AGATCAAATGTTTATCAACTTCCTTTGGAAAAAAGGAACTGGAACAAAGGAAAACAGTGTATCTGGTTTGGTTTTGGAGCCAATGTATATTAAAAAAAAATTAAGCTATAAAAAGGCCTAAAATATTTCAACATTGTTGGCTGGCTCCCTTATCAAAATGCCAAATAAGAACATAGTACTAAGTGGCGTGCAAAAGTTTTCAAAAGCTAATAATGATTCCTTACCCCCCATAGGATAAAAATGGTAGCAATTCAACAAAATGTAAATTAACTACCCTAAATAGTAAATATTGAACCTTCTAGCCACTTTTCTTCGAGTGAGGTGATTTCTTTTATATCGTGCCGGACTCATAAATCTAAGTGGGTACAATATAGTAAAAAAAATTTAAAGGGATAGTTTGAGTCGTATTAAATGTTTTTTTTCAAATGTGTTACTAATTTTATCTATATTTTCAAGTGGTCGTTTGCTTCATGCATTTGGAGGCATGAGGGTTCTGAGTGAAAACCTGGATTTTGGAAAACCTTGAATTTGTAATAGATCTCGTTCATAATGGATTTGAAAAGTTTTATGTTTGTTTGATGGATTTTGTTCATTAATGTATTTTTATGGTTTTGTAACTTTAATATGTAAATTACCTTAATATCCTCATCTATTTCTTTTATATTCGTGAGGCAATATGATATATATGTAATTATTATCATGTGGTCCATGGATTTGTGACTATATATGTTTCAAATACACACCCATATTTGGGATTGCAAGTTCATGACACTCACAAATTTGGACAATCAAAGTCCATGAGTCCCACGGATTTGGTCCTTCCACAAAAATATGGACCAAACACTGAATTATGTTAAATTCATGATGCTTATTGATTTGGACGCAAATCCATAAAGCAAACGACCCCTAACTATAGTTTTGAAGTCGAAAAAAGAAAGATTTTCCCCCATTTGGAATAAAGCAAAGCCCTATCACATCAAAGGCCATGTAGCCTTCAGGATGAAGGGGAAGTCCATCCTACAATTCGAAATTGAGACTTTCAAATTGAAATCGAATAATGAAATCGCTAAACCAATCTCTTGTTCACTTCGAAAAGTCATTTCTATTTTCTGATAAGTTGGAGTTTCTCTTTCTATTCTTCTTCCTTTTGTTTTGCTTAAATCAATGAAAGGGAAATCTTTATAGAGATGGGGTCATTGGAGTGAAAGAGAGAGGATGGTGTTTTTTCTCTTCTTCCTTTTTTTTTGAAGAGAATGATTCATGCTGTCTCCTCTCTATAAACAAAAGTCCTGGTTCTGATCATGATTTCCACTTGCGATCACTTGTTGTTGGAAGTGGGAGAGAAGACTTGTGGATTAACAATTTAACATGGCTCTCCAGTCCAGTGCCCTCCTCCTAATTGCGTTTTGACATTTAGGGGGAAATAATAGAGCCCAAAAATTAGGAGTGAGCTTGAGGGTTTGTTGATTGAAGAACCAATTCAACTTCATATTTAACCAAATCATTACGTGTCGAATCGGAATACCAGTAATGGTAGCACCAATTGTTGTGTTATGTAGTTCCTTCTCTATATAAGATCACCCGAATCAAAACTAACTCGCACTTACGAGGCAAGCATTTTACAATTCGTCCCATGCAACCATATGTTTAGAGTTTATCGAATGCAAAATGCTCGCGCCTCATATTTAGATTGCATGTTCACACGAGTATCTTTCGCACGTTCGTAGTTTTTTTAATAAATATCTAATAGTTGTTGAAGTCAAACCCAAATTTCGGTTCTTTCGATCATTTCTGAACAACGAAAAATGACATTTTTTTATTAAGAAAATTCAGTTGTACGATATCGATACGCGTGAAATGACAAAACAAATGCGAGGAAGATAAAAAAAGATCGGTCTAGTATCGTTGAAAAGTTATAGTTTGGTATATGGTGAATGTATGGGAGCAATGCATCTAGCTAAGTTAAAGATGCTTTTTTTGATAATGACCATACCCCATAGGGCACATAAAAGAGGATTAGGATATAGTTGAGATTAGCCAAACATGCCTTGGGGAAAAAAGCTAGGAAGAGATGATGATTAGGGTTTTGATTTTATATATTTGCATTTGAGGGGTGATAATGCCAAGAGTACCTTTTTTTGGAGGGCCTCTCCCTTTCCCTTACCCATTGTCCTTAAGTTAAGTGGCATCCACTTTGGGCTTCTCGGGCCCATCTTTTCGTTGGTGGGTCGGGCGGGCCCACTTACATCCCCCAGATTCTCTCCTTTTTCTCTTTCCCTCTCTCGTTCTTGTTGTACGAGGGTTGCTTACTAACTACAAGACGGCACCCACATTTTTCTTTTTGTCATAAAGCAGGCTCAAAGTTTGAAATGCCTTTCAACAAAGGACACCATTAGGGCTTGTCGGAGGACACCTCTCTTTGTGCCAAAGTCACGCGTGTGTGATATAATGATTCTTTTAACCACAATCCATAATGCTCTAAAAAAAAAAGTAGTTTAGATGAATTAAAGTATTGATTAAGTCGTGTATCTTGAAGAATTAAGCAAATCCGATCGTGCTCTGCGACTGCAGCGCTTGATTCGTATTCCTGCTTGTGGTAAGTAGGGAGTAGTCGGATCGAGGTAGTCAATCTATCCGAATGGGGAGGAGCTGCAGCGGGATATTTTTTGGTATTGATCGTGTAAAATTGACGAACGAGTATCGACGATATAAGTGATCGCGGCCGGTTTAGAGTAATTTTTTTGGGCTGCATGCCATACTCGAACACCAGGCATGCCCAGAGATAGGAGGGAAGTGGGCACCCGACTATTTCTGAGTATCTCCGCCTATTGTCTAGTTTTTTCTCTCTATCCCTTACTTGTTTCGATATAGTAGCAGAGATAGTATTTTTTTTTTTCATTCGTGGAATTTGGAAGAAAGTCGTTAACTAGAATTGTGTGAATTCGTTAAGCTCCAGACAGTTAGAAGAGTAAGTCATTTGAATCTCGAAATTTGAGAATGTGTTAGTCTGTGATGAATAATTATTTTTAATTCTACGAGAAACTAGTAAAAAAAAATAGTAAAATTTAGGTTTGTGCCGCGCGTGATACGTCTAGAAGACATACTCGACTTATGACAATAACGTAATAACATTAACACGATAATTATATGGTAATTACGTGTAGGCATACGATCGAAGCAAAATTCAGAGAGGTATATCAGTATATGATTAAAAAAAGAAATCCTTTATTCATACCGGCCGTAACCTTTTTCCACTCGACCGCCGCCGCCCGTCCAACCTCGCCGGCGGATGAATAGTGTTTCTTTAATCTTTTTCCTGTCCAAAGTCCAAACATTCCTTCACTTTCTACGGCGACAAACACCACCCACTACATTTCTTTTTTTGTAATTGTAAATTGTAATTAGCATCTCTCTCTCTCCTGCCTCTTTTTCATATCGATTTTCTCAGCATCCAAACAACACAACGGCCAAAAGAAATCTGAAATCTCGCAGTTCGGTTGCTTTCTCTCTGTTTCTTCTTTTAATTTTTTTTTTCTTCTTTTTGAACTTTTGCTGTCTTCCCGTTTCCAGAGCGCTTCTTTCTTTTCTTTTTGGTGGCAAACGTCTGTCGGGAACGGCCACCGCCGCGTTCCGTCGCTGTCTGGGAAAGTGATGATACGTCGCCGTTTCGTACTGTGCCCGCCGGCGCCGGGCACGGCGGGGAAACGGGCAGCAAGTTTTTTTTTCCCCGGGGAAAGTGGGCTGGTGGTTGCGTTGCTTCCATGGTTTGTTGCCGACCACAAAAGTTGTGTGAAACCCCAAAGCAAAGCTGTCACATTAAACCAAACTGCTCAGTTCTCCTGCTAAGAAGAATCAAATAAAAGACAAATTTCCCGGCTGAAAATGGAATATTTCCGGTTCCCCACTCCTCTTTTATATGAACAAAAGTTGTTAGGATTAGGATTGTGATTCGTTGGTATTTGATATTTGGTTCTATATAAACAATGATAATATACGTGGAGGAGATGGGTATCTCAATATTCATATTTGTTTTAATATGTGGTCACGATTTGTTAGTCAAGTCATGTAATTGGGTTAGGACATATACCTAGATTCGTTTAGTACAACGTTGAAGACAAAAAGATAATGTAGATGATTATACAAGTTTCAATACAATTGATCTAGAGGTCAACGTGACCGATAGTGAGGTACATATAATCAAAGAAGGAAACAGATAAGCGAGGACAATCAAAGCTCGAAGGAGCAAGAAACCTGCTAAAGATTGAACTAAGGAAGAGGCAAGGGCCTTAAGGGATGGTCCTCAAAAGCGGAGGGCGGCCGCGGTAACAAAAGTGACGGTGTCAGGCACTCTCCGACGACCACGATAAAAGCATTAATGGTCTCGGTTTCTCGGAGGCGTCTGAGTAACTGACTCATATACATATCCAAAAAGTGTATAAATAAAAGTTCTCATTCAATAAATGAGTCAAACGGTATACTCATAAGCTAATATCTCTCTACTTTCTTTCCCCGAATCTTCATATGCCTTCGTTTTCTCCTTTATCCGAAACCCTCCGAAAACACGTACAACACTTAGCAATAGCAAGATGTCCGACCTCTCAAATATCTAGACCGTTGGACTCAAACCAAAACCATATTGGCTTGTTCTATTCTAAACCATATTGGCCTTTTGGGATTAGTTATGTTTTGTTAATTATTATGGGTTTAATTGTAGGGTTAGAAGTTAGCTCGTCTTTAGGTGGCCGAGTGGCTTAGGTGTCCTAGTAGGGTTTGGCTAAAGTTAGGGTTACGTATTAGGTTTAGTCGCCTATAAATATGTAACTACGACATTAGTTCGGGGAATCAATTAAACAAAATAGGTTTTCGATACTTACGTCGTGCTCCCGTTGTGAGTTACAAGCAAACCCCTAACCCGATAGCAACAAAATCCTATTAGCAAAAGGTATAATCAAGATGCTAATCAAGGCATTTAGCCAAAAACTCAGCCAACAGTGGTGTGAATCGAGTCGGAGAGCAAATCAAGGATTTTGTTTGTTTGGTCATTTTCCAAAGTTTCAGAAACCCAAAATTCAAGTGTGAGGAAGATGAGAAAAAACAAAATCGACAGTTTCCATAAATTTTTTTTTTAAAAAAGGAGAAATTGGAAGAGGAAACCAAACATCCCTGTAAAGTAATAATGGTTTCACCTTTATTTATTCACTTCCTTATTGCTGGCTACCAGAGAGGAAACAGTACTCCATTGCCTTCCTCCCTCTTTCTCTGCTCTGCTCTGCATAATATAACCAACCAAACAACAAATCTCCCCTCTCTCTCTCCCACTCCCTTCTTCTCCACACTCTCGACGTGAATTCCCACTCTTCAGTCTTCCCAATCCTCACAGTGAGAAAGCTCTCTTACCCCCTTTCATGTCTGTGCCCTTGGAGCATGATTACATAGGCGATTCTTCAATGGAGAAAACAGGGGATGTTAGTATTATCACACCGCAACAAAAGAGCACCACCAAACTCGCCTCTTCTCTCAGCATGAACCTGAAAGCCACAGAGCTGAGGCTCGGGCTACCTGGGTCCGAGTCGCCGGAGCGAGACGACGGCAGCAGCGCTGAACTCTGCATCGGCTTGCCCAGCAGCAAGTCCTCTGTTTCCAGACCCAAGAGAGGGTTCTCCGTCGCCATCCACGGCGGCTCCGGCAACTGGGTTTTCTCCCCCGGCGCCGGTGGACCGGATAACAATTTCTCCTCTCCCAGAAACAACCCCGCCGCCGCGAATTCCGACCAGGCTCCCAAAGACGGCGGGCTGCCTCCTCAGTCGTCGCCGGCGACGGAGAAGAAGAAGGCTCAGGCTGCCGGTTCCGGCGCCGGTCCAGCTTCTAAGTAATCAATTACTCTCCTTGCTTCTCAATATTTTAAGTATTCTTCTGTTCAATTTCCCCTGTTTCCCAATCTATTTTGGAATTGAAAATTTGGGGGTCTCCCCTGTTTTTTTACCTCTGTTTTGGTCCGTGTAGGGCACAAGTGGTGGGATGGCCGCCAATTCGTTCGTTTCGAAAGAACACCATGGCTTCCCATCCTACTCCGAAGAACAGCGACGTGGTGGAAGGAGGCGACCACAACCCTAACTCAGGGGGATCGGCATCGTCGACATCAGTTTGTTTGTATGTCAAAGTCAGCATGGACGGGGCGCCATATCTCAGGAAAGTCGACCTCAAGACTTATGGCGGCTACAAGGACCTCTCTCTTGCTCTCGAGAACATGTTCAGCTGCTTCACTATTGGTACTGTTCAGTATTCTATCTCACAATTAGACACTTACTATTAAACATAGATTCCCTAGGGTCTAAGTTTTACTGTAGAGATGGTTGATAAAGTAACTGAAGGTTTTTAATGGAATTTGGATACTATACTCAATAGGGTACACTCAAACACCATGCTTGTGTCTCTTTTAGCTGTTTGATTTGCGATCGGATGGTTCTCGTGCTTATGTAGTGCTATCAATATTGATTGCTTGTATCGTTCGTGTTTCGACAACCATCTGATTACGAATCTGATGGTTGCAAGCATGCTAAATAAGGTCGGTAGAAGCATCGTGTAATTTTGTATGTTCGCGTCCTGTGCTCGCTATGACCGTCTGATCGTAAATCTAAAGGCGAGAAAGTGTAACCATGGGAGCATGTGTGTTCCCAAGCTGGAACAGTTTGCAAGAGGTAGTGGTGGTGACTATGCACTGGAATAAAAGCTAATATGGAAGTGATGATGTGATTAGGCATAAAGCCATTAACATGCTTGCTGCTTTGCTTTGCTTTGATGATGTCTTATCACCCATTAACAAACAGTAAGCATCATTTTTGTGGTTCCCCTGGACCAACTTGTAGATGCGTGAGAAGACATAATGATTATATGCTTAGATTCTGATTGATCTTAATGGGTTCTTTTTTTCTACTTCTTACTTTATTTTTCTCCGTTTTACATCAATGGTGGTCGGGTTTAAAGGTCAATGCGGGTCTCATGGCGTTTCTGGGAGAGATGGAGTGAGCGAGAGTCGACTGGTGGATATTCTGCATGGTTCTGAGTATGTACTCACCTATGAAGATAAAGATGGTGACTGGATGCTTGTTGGTGATGTCCCTTGGAAGTAAAGTCTAACCCTTTCTTCATCCTATCCTTACATAATGCAATGAAGTTATAGTCTAAACCCATTTAAGGACATGCTCACCTTTGAATCTTCTGTTGCAGGATGTTCATCGACTCTTGCAGAAGGCTGAGGATCATGAAGAGCTCGGAGGCCATTGGTCTCGGTACATAATCTGCTTTTCTGTTTCAAACATGCTCTATTTCCCCTTCCATTGTTTACCCAAATCCAAATTTTGATCCGTTCTCTCTGCCTGTTGCAGCACCAAGGGCGTTTGAGAAGTGCAAAAGCAGTAACTAGCATGATCATAACTGCTGGATCCAAACTGAATGCAACCCATATGAATACTCTGCTGCCTGCTTTGGATCTGGGAAAAGCTTCTTCCTTTTTTTTTTGGTTCATGGATCCAAACAGAATGAGGATCCACCCCCACTTTTTGTCCTTACTTTGGCATATATATTAATATTGTTCTACAGTGTTTGCATTAGATTAAAAAAACTGTTTAAGTTTGCTTGGCTTCAGATGTATTGTTATTATTATTTGTGCTGATCTTCCTGGATATCATCATGAGTGTCCCCCCTTCCTTCCCTGCCTGCAATTATTATTTGTGTGTAAAATTTGTTTCTTTGCTGCAGCTTACTCTTTTCCTTTTGTTTTCTGGGTTGCCCTTTTTCTTTTCTTTTCCTTTCCTTTCCCCCCCATTTTTCTGCCTTTTGTCCCTCTCTAGCTCACTGTGCCCTCTGAAAAGAAGCAAAGGAAGTGAGAGGGAGGGAGGAAAGATGATGGTGGTTGGGGGGACAAATTCAATTGCAAAGCCAAGCCCACCAATGGGGTGTAGTCTAGTCTAAGTCTAGTGCAGTCTAATACAGGAGAGAGTGTGTTGATGGATTGATTTGATAGGCGGCTGCTGCTAAATAATCTTTTCATCAGGGTTATCTGCAATGTGCTGCAGAATTCTTTCTTTTCTGCTTCATCAGGAACCAATGAAACTGAGGCAGCCCAGGGTGCTGCTGTTTGTCTCAATCTGGATGGATGGTGAATGAAAAGGGTTGTTAGCTGTGACTTGAGTGAATGTGGAAGTGAAATTTCATTGTCTGGTGGATTCATGAATGATCTTGGTGTAAGAGGGTGGAAGTTGATGTGATGTGAATGAATTGAGTCTTTTCTGGGGCTGTAAATAAGTTAAAGATTAGGTTTTTGGCTCATTGTTCACAGGGGGAGAAGTAGTAAGAAAACAAAACTGGGGAGCAGGTTTTCTGGGGGACCTGTTCCTGACTTCCTGTGGCTCATGTTTGTAGTTTCAGTATTTGTCGTTTTGGTATGGTGGAGGTCTTTCAATGGCGTGAGTGGTAAGAAGCACTAATCAGCAGGGAGATGATGAAGGGATAAACACAATTTCATGTCATCCTCTCACTTGTGATTGACACGAAACATTTACATATTTCTTAAACTTTAAATTTCCAAGTTTATGACATCCCTAGAATCAGGCCGACGCGCGTGACAATCAGACTGGAGCCATATGCGAGGAAGTCCTGATCGGTTAGCAATCCATACTAGGTTCCATGTATGATTTGTAGGTCGGAGTTACAATATGATAGTCCATTTGATGGCTAGAAAGGTCATTTCTTTGTGCCCGCGGATAAAGACGACTTTCCTATTCGCTTGCCTGCTCTCCCTATTTTGCCCGAATTCCCCTAATAGAGCACTTGAGCGTGCCGACCGCTTGATGTTTCTTTGCCTTTATAGCTTGGCTAAACTTCAAGATATAATATGTTTTGATCTCTCTTTCAATCAATATATGATTATCTTTTGGCAAGGGAAAAAAAAAAAGACATCCCTAAAATCCGCTTGGATCCAAAATGGAATCTAACGTCCTTTAGTAGCATTATTGAGTAAAACGGAGTGTCTGGCCCCCTCTGGTGGCTGGTTGAGTTCTAGCACACGAAGTGTGGTGGTACTCCCAGTAATCGAGTTGTAGCACTTTAAAGCGTGGTCGGATTCTCCTCGAATATTAGGGTGGTCATGACGCGATAATTCTAGCCTCTCAAGTAATCTTCTCCGACTCTTACGATCAGACTGTTGAGTCGGCATCTTCAAAGCTCACCTGACACTATGATATGACCAGTATAGTGCCCATCGATAGGGTTCTTCGAGTAAAAAATGACACACATATTTCATATTATTAGATTATCAATGATCTAGGCAAAATGTATAACATGAATTTGTATCGTTGTTGGAAAGGGTATACAACTTTTTTAAGATACGAATATATAGAACTTTTTTTTTTGTTGGTGAGAATATATAGAACCTTTTCAATTCAAAAGAAAGAAATATAAAAATATGAAAACAATACTTATTGGAAAGGGTAATTGATTGTTTGTAATGCAAAGCCCACAACCCACTGCAAAAATCCAACTTTCAGGCCCGGTTTTCATTGAAGCCCACTACCCAAAAAAAAACCCCCAAACTGCGATCCTTTTCGAGGGTCGAGGAATATAAAAGACTACACGCAGACACTTGCAAGCCGATTCACCGCAACTTTCAGCAGACGACGGAAGCCAGGCAGCCGAGCCGGCGAGGGATTTTTGGGCGGAGGGAGTGCTTTCTTCTCTTATCTCCACCGTGATCACCGGTCTTCGTATCTCCGACCGAAGGCTTTCCGTTCTACCCTTTTCGGCAGGAATCTTGTGTCCAGGTTTTGAGCCTTATTGCCCTCTAGGCCGTTCGTGCAATTAACGAACTGATGCTTCCTAGTTGTATCATTCCTATTTCCAGCTGCTCAATCCCTTTCTGCGGGTTTCTCATATCCGTGAATTCGGATTCTATAGTTCGTTTATTTGGGAGGAACGGTTTAAGGTTTTCAGAGCTATGTCGGTTATTCGAATTCATTAGGCTGGAGCTATGCTCGTTTACTTCTGTGCCCTAGCTCTGTTTTTGGTGCTGTAGGCGTGATTTAGATAGAGCTCGAGTTCATGTATTCCTGTCTTGCTATGCCACATTTTGCACCAGAGCGGGGAATTGACGTTGGCGTTCTATTTAGGGTTTCGTTTTTAATTCCCAAAATACTGTTTCGAGGGTTTGATTGGATATTGAGCTGCGCGATAAGACCAGCGATAAAGTCTGCACCTTGTTAGAACAGTTTGTTTTATGGCGATATTCCTGATGTGTTCACCGCGCTTTGATCGGTTTTTTTTTTGGGTATTTTCTCGGGGATGGTTGAACTAGCTGTTCTTGCTGACTTGCGAGCCTGTTTCCCGGTCACAAGATTAGTCGTTCTGTCTGTCCGTCAGTCTTTTGCAATTCTCTGTTCCTTGGCGTGATGATGGCTTTTATACCATGTTACTGATTCTGTTCAAAACTTATGAGCAGGAAGATGACGCTAGGCGAGGAAGAAATCACTAGGCTGTGGAGGATCGGGAAGACTGTATATCAAATGCTAAGGGACCGGGGGTACCTTGTCGTTGAATCTGAGGACAAAATAAGTAAACATCAGTTCATTTCAAAGCACGGCCAAAACATGAAAAGGGAAGACCTTACAATCCAGAAATCTAAGAAAAATGATTCCATGGATAAGGTATGCTATTTTTTCCCCCCTTGTCTGAATAGGATGAAGAGTATTAACTCCAATGTTTTTGTACTGTGCAAAGTTATACCTGGTTAAAGTTTCAGTATTCAGAAATTGCATATGTTTGTGAATGAAATTATATTGAACTTTTATGAGTAGCTACCACTTGCTTGAAGAATAGAACACCGGTTTGGACCTGCACTGGCACCTGCATGAGCATGAGTATTTTGATAGATGTGATTGTCATTGAAGTGTGAATCTATAAAACTTTTATGGGTAGATTGAGAAAAACTGTGGAAGAAAGCAGCTGTATGTGATTAAAACTGATATCAGGAAGCATGCTCTTATTATTGGGAGCTTGATTGAACAACCATTTTATCCTTGTGAAATGAATGGACAAGCATTTTGATTGGAGTATCACTCCTTAGAGATTGCGAAAGCAATTATCAGCAGCTATTCATGTTGTCTTCTTATTTGTTGTTATGTTCCATTCTTTTTTTAATTTGCTTGACATAGAAGCAGAAGATACTCCATGTATGCTCTTTTGATCTAGTCTATGTTTTCTCATGGTTGCCTTATTGAATCTTTTCTCTACCAGATTTATGTTTTCTTCCCGGAGGAAGCTAAGGTTGGTGTGAAAACAATGAAGACCTATATAAATCGCATGAAAACAGAGAATGTCTTCAGGGCAATCTTGGTTGTTCAACAAAATTTGACTCCATTTGCTAAAACATGTGTAGCTGAAATGTCGAGCAAATTTCAGTTGGAGGTCTTCCTGGTAAGATTTTCATGCATAGCAACACATCTAAGGGCAATGTTCTTCCTGTTGGATTTTTGTTTCTGTCCTGTTTTTCTAGCTACTGTGGTCTGCGGGCTATACATCTCCCCTATTATATCGCCTGCACATTGTCTTTTCGAATCTGTTGTGAGTTCACACTCCTTGGTTGTGGTACGAGATTGCGATAGACTACAAGTTCTCATATTCCTTTGGTTCCATTCGTTTAGGAGGCAGAGCTGTTGGTCAATATCAAAGATCATGTTCTTGTCCCTACACATGAAGTGCTCACAAATGAGGAAAAGAAGACCTTGCTAGAAAGATACACAGTGAAAGAAACGCAGGTGAGTGTCACACATTACGATGTATTAACTTCTACAATATCTAAATCGAAATCTGATTGGGTGTCGTTTGGAATCAGCTGCCTCGGATCCAGTTGACTGATCCAATTGCCAGATACTACGGGCTGAAGAGAGGTCAAGTGGTGAAGATTATCAGGCCAAGCGAGACTGCTGGCCGATATGTCACCTACAGATATGTTGTATGAACAACTCTCCTTCGCGGATAATGGAAGCCATTTCAATTCCAATGCACTGGTCGCATCGCTTGGATATCTCTATTCCTTGTCCCTCTTTCGGTTCCATTTGCTCTGGTTTTTGTGGATTCTCTGGTTTGTAAGGCTACCTGTTTCCAGGCATAGAGATTTTGATCCTAATGTAAGGCAAGATGGGTTGGTCACTGAGTAGAAAAATAACGATGATGCTTGTTGGTTTTGTCTGGTTTGAGTTGGACAAACATTATGACAGAAGACTTGCCTTATTGTATCAGAGCACAGTTAGTCTCTCGTATGAACTGAAAGCTCTCAAAGCTCGACATGACCACCAATTTTTTTGCTTAGATTGGATTGTGCTCTATATTAACTGGCAAAGCTTGTTTCATTTTGCTAAGCGATTCTTTTGGTGGGATAAAAACGTAAACTTTTAAATTTTAAAGCACAATTTTGACTAAATTAGTTAGCAAAAACTCATTTCTACATAGAAAAAGTGTTTTGGTGATTTAAAAGTGTAAAAACGTACGGGTTTTAAACTTTAAGATACGATTTTGGCTACATATATCATGAAGAAACTAGCTTGTTTCATCTATAAACATGAATTGAGCTCCTAACCTCGTGTTAAAAAAAACAAGCGAATTAACCGTATCCTAGGCCTAACAAAATAATAAAGAACTTAACGGTTATCAGTTTAATTGTTAACCGTCACTTAGGGGTTAGGTTAGTGGTTAACCCATACTCGATATTAAAAAAAAAAAAAAAAACACAGCAATGCTTGCTGATTTGGGCAATTTTGTTAGGGCTCCGGAAAAGGGTAGAAAGAAAAGGTATTGAACCTTTCACTCAGCAGCAGTACTCCATTGCTTCTCTGGTTCGCGTATCTTTGATTCTTGAATCTTGTCGGGGTGGAAATTTTACCAGGACAATGAAGCTGAAGCAACTAGAAAGCCTCTTAGGCAACCTTCAGCAATTCTCCAACCCAAAGGTCTCTCTTTCTCTCTCGTTCTCTCCCCCTCTTTCCCCTTCCTCCTCGTCTATCCTTTCTGCCGGAGATTCTGAATTATTGTTGGCCCTGCTTGATTTGCCCTGTCTGGGACGCAGGTGGAGCTGGAGCAGTACCCTACCGGCCCTCACATCGCTTCCCGCATGCTCTACATGGTCACTTCTTCCTTGCCCTTTACTTGCTCTGCTTATATTTCACTCAATGAGCTTCCCTTCTCCATTCCCTGGAATTGGGGTCCTTCCAGGACTAATTTTCTTCAAAGCTAACTGGGAAAGTTTGCGGCTTTTATGGTTTCAACAACTGAGCAGGCGGAGAATTCATATGGGGATGTGACTGAAAAGGTAGTGGCGGATTTCGGCTGCGGATGTGGAACATTAGGCGCTGCAGCTGCTCTGATGGGCGCAGAGTGAGTTCCGTCCTCTGAAAATGATACATTCATTCCTTGATTCTCTCTTTAGAGATGGCAGCTTTCTAGAATGTCATTCAGTGTAAGATATAGAAAAGGATTCTCCATGATGTGGCTGCACATTGAGCTGTTGTTTGTTATTCAGACAGGTATTTGGTATTGATGTTGATTCGGAATCCCTTGAGATGGCAACGGCTAATGCTGAGGATCTCGAGGTACTCTTTCGTACCTTTTCCTTTTCTTTTTGGACGGCCTTTTACATTTCCTCGTAAATTGCGGATAAATGCATTGTTCAGCTGATGATCTTCCATTTGTTGAATGATTTTTGAACCCTGCAGCTGGACATAGAATTTGTACAATGTGACATCAGGAACCTAGGATGGAGAGGTAGTGGCAGTAATGGCCTAGTTTTCTTCATATTATCTTTTTTTTCGATTGGTGAAGTCTGTGTCTGAAGTTTCAAATCCTGTGTTAGGTTCTAGTGTTGATACAGTGGTGATGAACCCTCCATTTGGGACACGGAGGAAGGGCGCGGATATGGAGTTTCTCTGTGCAGCCTTAAAAGTACAAATTCTCTCCCACCTAATGCACTTTGGTGGTCATAAGTCTCTATCTTCTTGTAATCAAATCTTGTGATATCTTGATGCCAGATTGCTTCTGGAGCAGTATATTCGTTACACAAAACATCAACGAGAGACGTAAGTATCTTTTGTACTAAGTAAAGAATGTAGCTTGAATGTGCAGGATGTATATTTGAATGTAGAGGAGGGTCGGAGATTCTCCCGACCTCCTTCATTTAGCAGGAGGTTATGCAGCTTTCCCTAATATGACCATTTGTAAACTTGGTTCATTTCAGCATATTAAAAGGGCAGCCTTGCGTGACTTTGGTGCTAAAACTGCCGAGGTTTTGTGTGAGGTGAGTAATATGTCATTAGTATTTCTGATATATTCCAAGTTGAGTTTGGAAGTTGTTAACACTGTCATGTTTGTCAGTTTAACATTTGCAACATTCTGAATCCTGTATTTACAGCTCCGGTTCGATGTTCCTCAACTATACAAGTTCCATAAGAAGAAGGAAGTGGATGTCGCAGTAGACCTTTGGCGGTTCGAGCCAAAAGATTAATCCAGGCAAAGGAATTTGAGTGCCCCTCAAAACATATCCTACATGCGACAAAACGCATTTGCAGTTGGGAAATGATGGTTTGTCTCAAAGTCTCGACAATAGCAAATGCAAGTTTTTGTAATTGCTGGATTGATTTTAGCAGCAACTGCTATCATTTATGGAGGAACACTTTTAGCAGATTCGTATCAGAATTGTTGCCTGTATCAATATAGAAGGGGAAAAACAACTATTGATGATGAGATACAGAAGGAAAAGTCCCATGCTTTGATCACGAAAGAAAAAAGAATCCGGAGAACCCTATATTCTCATCCAAAAACTAGATTCTGTAACAGCTTCATGACGCCAGTTTTATCTGTTCATTAAGCAACAAAATTCTTCATTCCTAGGATTTTGCTTCTTCCTCAGTCGGTGTCTTCTCCAAGTGTAAACCTCACGAACCTTCGGACTTTTATATTCTCGCCAAGACTGGCAACAGTTTGCTTCACCAAATCCTTTACCAGCAATTTGTCATCCTTAATGAATGGTTGTTCTAGAAGTGCAAGCTCTCCAAGCCTCTTTGAGATCCTTCCATCGACAATCTTCTCCCTTATGTTCTCTGGTTTCGACTGAAGGTCCTCCCTTTGCATCTCGAGCTCCTTCTCCTTCTCAACAATGCTCTTTGGCACATCTTCAGTTGACACAAACTGCACCTGTGGGCATGCAACGACCTGCATTGCCAGATCATCGACCAGTTCCTTGAATATTTCGCCCCTGCCAACGAAGTCGGTCTCGCAGTTGACCTCTATCAGCACTCCGATTCGAGAGTCATGAATGTAGGAACCTATCCGGCCTTCAGCTGCAAGACGGCTGGATTTCTTGTCGGCGGATGACAGTCCTTTCTTTCTGAGATAATCCTGTGCCTTCTCCAGATCACCACCTGTCTCTGCAAGGGCTTTCTTGCAGTCCATCATCCCAGCTCCTGTTTCTTCCCTCAGTTGCTTGACGAGTGCTGCAGAAACTGCTGCAGCTGGTGGCCTGAAAGAGCATGGAAAATACATGTCAAACTTAAGGTCACTGAGTTATGCAAATTTGAAGGAAAAGAGATTAGTCCTGTCATGCATAAAGACCAGATTGTCACCATAAGAAAATATCAGTAAGAAAATATAATATTATGGACTAGTTCGTAAAAGAGTACAATTTTAGCATTGTAAGGTTTTGAAGCAACTTAAAATTTATGAAAAGTGAGTAGACACTTACTTCTGAACAGCTTCTTTCTCCTCTGTTACAGCAGCAGGTTGATCTTTTGGTGGTGCAGGTGCAGATTTCGCAGCGGTTTGTGCAGCAACCTCAGCAGCAAAATCCTGACTCTTCTTCTCCAAGCCTTCACCAAGATTATACCTAACAAACCTCTTAACCTTCATATTCTCCCCAATGGTTGCAATTGTCTGCTTGATCCAGTCCTTCACCAAAACCTTATCATTCTTGATGTACGGCTGCTCCAACAGTGCTAGCTCATCGAGCCTCTTCTTGATCCTTCCTTCGACGATCTTAGCCCTAATCTGCTCTGGTTTCGACAACAAATCTTCCTTCTGCATCTCAATCTCTCTCTCCTTGCTCACAACTGCTTCAGCAACATCTTCTGTGGCAACAACTTGTACTTGTGGACACGCGGCCACTTGCATGGCTAGATCATCCACAAGCTCCTTGAAGATTTCTCCTCGAGAGACGAAATCTGTCTCGCAGTTCACCTCGATCAGGATGCCGATTCTGCTGTCGTGAATGTATGACCCGATTCTTCCCTCAGCAGTTGTTCTGCTGGCTTTTTTCTCTGCACTCGCTAGTCCTTTGGTTCGGAGGAATTCTATAGCTTTAATGATGTCACCTCCCGTCTCGGAGAGTGCTTTCTTGCAGTCCATCATTCCTGCTCCTGTTTCTTCTCGGAGCTGCTTTACCAGAGCTGGTGAGATGGCTGCTGCTATGATCATCACAAAAGGAAATAACAGACACAAGTTCAGAGCCAAGAGAAACATGACTAATTGAAGAATTACATGCCAAAGAACAAAGATAAGAGACAGCATTGTAGAGAGAGAAACCTGTTGTTGTCTCTTTGGGGGAAGGATTGCTGTTGAGGCCATTTCCCTCAGGAGCAGGATCCTGCTTCTCACTTTCAACTAGAGAGGCAGAAATAGTTTCATTGGCTTCAACTTTCTCTGGACCTTCTTCAATTGTTTGATTTTCCACTTCCTCGGTTTCGGTTTGTGATAGATCAGAACTTTCTACACTTTCCACTCCATCTGTATTCAGACAAGAGAAACAGCTCAATGTAAATCGTGGATTCAAGCCTAATAGTTTACAGAAATCCATTTAGCAGGAGACATAAATTGGAGATCAACTTCTTAAAATATATTTTAAGTTGGTTTGTTTTAGCTTCCCATTCAAACCCTTCTTAATGTTTCGTTTCCTTTAAGCTCAAACAAACACAGTCGACATGCTTTCTTATTATGAATCAAGAACTCGTACATTTCATTATTTTAGATTCCGAAGTGGGAGGAAAGAAATTACAGATGCACACCTGAACTAACGAAACTACCACTCTCATCCGCAGCTTCTGTGGCAACTTCATTATCTACTGGTGTGGCAGCTGCTTCTATTTGCTCTTCCACATTACCCTCTACAACACTTTCATCAACAGGAGCTTCTGCAGATGAATCAGAATTTCCATCACTTTCCACCACTTCAATTGAAGGTTCTTCCACCTTTTGATCTGCACTTACAATCTCGTTAACAGTTGCATCAATCTTCTCCGGTTCTTCAATTGGCTCATCATCAGCTGCAGCTTGAACAGCACTCTCAACTTCTTCTGATGAGCTAGACTCTATGCTCTCCACCTCTGAAGAAGCTACAGTCTCTTCCTGCTCCAAGTCCTTCTCACCAACATTAGCTTCCACAGCCACCTCTGAAGAAGCTACAATTTCTTCCTGCTCCAACTCCTTCTCACCATCATTAGCTTCCACAGCCACCTCTGAAGAAGCTACAATTTCTTCCTGCTCTAGCTCCTTCTCTTCTGAAATCTCAGCATCTTTTTGCAACTTCTCTCTATCATCAAGAAATTCTGCTATATCCTTGTTCTTCCTGAAAGCCACCAGGAACGGATTAGTTGCAGCATGGATAACTCCCTGAGTAAAGTTCTTATCCTCCTTCTGATTATCTTCCTCCTTTTTCATCGTCAAAGTAAATTGACCTCTATTTATACGCAAAACCCTAACACTAACTTCCTGTCCCATCACTAGTTGAGAACCACCCATAAGGTTTCCAAATCCCTCACTAACTTCTTCTGAAGCAGGCAAGAATCCTTCCTCGCCTTCAGGGAGAGTGAGGAAAGCACCAGACCTGGTCAAGTTCTTAACCGTGCCATCTAGTTGCTGCCCAATAACAAACTTTGCAGTCTTCTCATCCCTCTTTTGACCACTCCTTTGTGTGTTTCTTCTTCCAGGTCTCGGCTTATCTCCACCACCTGTTGAAGCAGAATAATCTTTCCTTTGCTGCTGTGGCTTACTACTATTTCCATCATTATCATCATCGTCACGCATACTCAGAGAAATACGTCCCGTCTCTGTGTTTGCTTCAAGTAACCTCACCTTGACCTCTTGTCCAACTGAGACGACATTTCCAACGTCCTTAACATAGCTATCACTCAGCCTGGAAACATGTACAAGGCCGTCTGTGAAAGCCCCAAAGTCGATGAATGCTCCAAATGGTTGAATAGACCTTACTTTCCCGGTGAACATTGCCCCAGGAACCAGATCCTCGTTCTTTACAGGCGGCATCTCACTTTTTCTGCCCGGTCTTGCACGCTTAGCTTGAGTTGGTGCAGTCTCTGCAGGTATTTCTGAGGCTTTATTTGAATCTTCCTCACTTGTCACAGGCTCTTCCTCACTTGTCGCAGGACTTTCGGGCTCTCCAACAGCTATGTCTGTGCCTGTGGCTGACACTGTTACTGAATGCACTGTGCTTCTGTGAGCCAAAGAATGATGATGTGTTTTGTAATTGGACAAGGACTTGATGGATGCTGGGAAGGGTAAAACGGCGAGTCTTTGGGCATGCTTTGCTGATTTCCTGGATAAACTACATTTTGTGGGAGCATTGGTCTTGTTTAATGTGAGGGGAGTTCCTGGAATGAGGGCGATTCTGCTTGTAGAACATGGGATTACTGGCGTCATGTTTCCTTGGAATTGCAATTGGTCAGTCAGCAGCTAGAATCAGTTCTTCATCACAACATTCACCTGTTCCAAGCGTAGTTATAAGTTAATTCCCCACACAGAAATCCAGGGAGAGTATGTTCCAAGAATCAGCATTCACAGTTCCTGAAATGTAGGAAGTGTCGACAACATGGCAAAGCAAGGCACAACTTTCAACTCGGTTACCTACTAAACCAGTCAAATTAAACATCCTACAGGAGATTAACTCGACTGATTACGTAATACAAGCTCATTCAACCCGAAGAACAAGCCAGTTCTCACTTTCCAATTGACAAATTATGCAATATCAATTCCCACAGCTAACTCAATTCCACAAACCACTGCAATGCTTTTCACCAAACATTGCAAACGGAGCTGAAAAGTTTAGCCAAATGCACATTCCCAGGCAATGTCCATCACAGCATTGCAAAGCAAGCAAGACCGTACAAGAAATTCTCACGCAAAATCACAACAACAAGAGACATACATCACAGGAACTCAATTCAACTTCTTCCCAACAACAAACTCAACAGCAGAAGAACAAATCATCCAAATCAAACATCAAGATGGTGGGGAAACCGCAGGAAGCAGCTTCGAAACCATGGACCCATGAGCTCAGAACTGATTAAAGCTTGTACCTTGGCTATCTGTTGGAAAAGGGTCCCTGAAAGATTGTATCTTTTCCCTGTCAAAATGTCTCAGGATGACTGGAAGCTAACTGAGAGCCTTCTTCCTGCAACGGATAAAAGACCAGAGAAAGAGGGAAAATGAAAGGGGGAAGATAAAGGGCTTTAAAACCTTATCTTAGTTATGGTTCCCTTCCCCACTGTTTTTCTCCCGTTCGTGGATACTGGAATGGATAGACAAGGCAGAGCAGAGTGACTGACAAAATAGCGGTCTGGCTTATTCGGCTCGGCTGGCCGTTTAGTAAAAAGCCGAGCTGATTTGAACATGGGCCGAAACCAGGTATTGGGTTTTTGGATATGGCTAGCCCAGTAAGGATTTGGATACATTGGGGGCAGGTTTGGGCTATCCAACCCAATTCACCACCTTAGTGTAACTGAATAATTGAGAAAAGAAAAAAGAGTAATTGGTCGAGATAGAAACATATTACTCGCTCATTGTGTGGCACGTCATGTTCTGTCGTTATCATCCCGCACTTGTTAAAAAGGTTGACTTCTTTTCCTGGTTTCGTAATAGATAAACTATTGTCTTCTGTACATTTGTTCTATCCTCTTTATTAGAGTGATCGATTGAACCAAACAAGAATCGAGAAAATAATATCATTATTATTGAATACCTTGATTTTGAATGATGAATTTAGAGCAAAAGGCAAAGGGCGTGTATATACATTTATATACAAGGGTTGGATTTTCGGAGGTTCAAAGATTTTAACTTGACACTTCTGGTTAAACAAACTTGATCCTTATTCACTCTCTCTGAGTCTTTCTGAGCTTGACTCCTGAAGGACTTTTAACTTACTCATTGTAACTCTCTATCCGCTAGGAAGAGAAGGTCTTCCACAGTATGGTTAAGTTTGTGGGAAGTAAGAAAGTTTTCTATATTTGGGGAAATCCACGTACACGTGTTAAACTAGAACATATTACTATCATAGATTATCAACTCCGTCCGATAAAGAAGTTCTCGTTATTCCGTCCTCATACATAACATCGGGCCATAAACAATTTTGCCCAAAGTGAAGTATTTAGCTAATTTTCAGGTAAGTATTGTTGTGAGAATTTTTATGCCCCTGTAATATAAAAAATCATTGATACGCGTATATCCATAATATAAAAAAGAGGTTTCTACATATATAATGCATGTTAAAGAATTTAAAAACTCGAGATTTGAGAAACAAAATATCATATAGTTAATTGCATAATGCATGGTCGAGGAATTTAAAAAATCAAACAAATTATCAACAGAAAATTAAACCCATATCCAAGATAGATCACACTACCAATTGGGATGTTGGTCCAATTTCCAGATTCTCATAAAATTTCCCCCATAAATATATGCCTAGATGGAGGGGCCAAATTTATGAATATGTTGCAGCACTTGCAAGTTATTTAATTTGTTTCCATTGATTGATGATTGTCATATATAGATGAATTGCACAAAGTTACAACAAATCCTAATCAACGGGTCATTGATCTAGCGCGTGTATTATAACTCGATCCGTGACGATGACTTTGAAATGACCGATTCAAGTGTTAGAGGAATTTTAGGTATCATTTTTTCTATTAATTGTACGCCTTTTTAACGTGTAAGAAAGTGTAGATGCTATCTGTTGAAGAAATAAGAACGAGAGGCCGGCAACAATTCATGTAGCCGAACTCTTGAAGCAACTTGCAAATCCATCTACTCAACCAATAACGTATATATTGCGGAAAGCAAGACATATCGTCGCACACTTGACGCAGCTGAGCGTGAAGTGGCAAGTGGTTCTCTGTCCTCTCTAACATTGGGATTCTGGATGATACGAGACAGACACGATGTTTATCGATAGCTGATGTTTCTGTTTGTGACATCATTGATGTTGGTTTGTTATAGTAAACCTTTCATGGAGAGTCGATAATAGATTCCGCCTTCGTTGTATCAAATTTAAGACATGTTATACGATCTTTTAAGTAACACAAGAATATGATTGAACGGAGGGAAAAATTGAATCCCCACAGCACATCAGCAGCATCTACACACATGTGGTGCAGAATCACTATATATATGATCTTAGCTAGCTGCCATCAATTCTACATGATTGTGTTTTTTTTATTATTATTATTATTTTAAATCACTTTATAATAATCCAGTTGGCAGGGTGATTATGTTCATTTCATGGGGACTTCCTGCGGCAATATTCTAGTACAACAAAATCTTCTGTTCCTGCCAACCAATGGATATGTGGACACTTGGGTTTTCAACTTATTTATTTAATTATTTTCTAGCTTAGAAAAATATTTTCTCGCATATATAAAATCCATAACTATAACTACTAAACAAAATTATGTTAAAGAGATATACACACAGACACACGTAGGATAGTAGATAACTAGATATCAGTCACATGACACACCATATAGAAACCAAAATACCTTCTCCATATATACTAGTATTGACAGTTGGGAGAGAATTAATAATGGATACTAATACGTTCAATCAAACGAAAGTCAATTGTATAGATTTGAAAATTTTACAAGTTCAAATATCATAATTTAACAAATGGGATCGTTGGAGTTCGAATAAAAACCCTCTCGATTACATAAAACTCTAATACTATGTTAAAAATCAGTTGATTCTAATAACTCTATTTATTTGAAGAGATTTAATAATAGATATTTTATCAAAGTAATATGACAGATACGATGTGTGTTAAAGTATTACTGATTGATCGACATTCCATTTCCATATATATATATCCATTCAGTTCCATGGATTATGTACTTTGTACAATGTATCTGTTCTGCCACATTGATCTGCGATTTGCCACATGTTTGTCTTTATGAAGTTCTGCAGATTTTTTTTTCTGCAGAAGTTGATATGTGAGCACTGAGCTTGAGATTCTGCTGTTTCTATGATTTACCCTATTATTAAAAACTGATCCCTGTTGGCCTATAAGCTGGTTCAGATCATTGAAGCTTGCTCGGCGTTGTTAAAAGTTCATACACTAACATCTTTCAATCATTCGAATTATTGAGACCGATTGGTTTATGACGTGCTATCAAAGTTTGTTTATCCTTTAGATCATGTGTTCGAGTCCTGTGTAAACTTCAAGCTTATGATAAAGTTGGCTTTCATTTGAATGGGTGTGTAAGAAAGTTGGTTAAATCTATGCATGAATCACTCTCAACAACCCGAGTTATTGGAATCGGTTGGTTTACGACAGAAACAACCATTAATACGTTGAAGTCTTAATAGCACTTGAATGTGTCAAGAACCAGTTGGTCCCAATAACTCGAGCTGTTGGGAAGGGGTTTCAATTATGGATCATATATTATTTACTAACACATCCCTCTCAAGCGAAAATAGACTCGTATGGGCTTGAAGTTTGCACAAATCTGAATAGAAGGCTCTGATACCATATATGTGTCCATGTGAATAACTAGTTGGTCCCAATAATTGATTTTTATTGGTGTCAATTAGGGTTGTCAATTTGGTTTGGTTAACCAAACCATTAAGCACGAAATACCAAAAATCAAAAACCAAAACCAAAAAATCAACATGCACTCATACACTCATGTTTATTTCCATTTCCCTCCTTTTTATTGAATAAACGTCATAATAATTGTAAATGATAAAATGACCATTACAAATTATTGGTTGGCATGCATATCAAAAGAAACAAAACAATTATTTGTTGATAAATAATTTTATTATTATTATTTGTACATTCTTATTGGTTTCGTTCAGATTATTGGTTTCTATTGGTTTTTCGGTTTTAACCGAACCAAAATCATTAAGTTGCTAATTGATTTAAAATTGAAAAACCGAAACCATTAGCTTTCCAATTGATTTGGTTTCGATTAAAACCAAAAGACCAAAACCAAATTGACAGCCCTACTCCCAAAACTATAATTTTTTGGATTATTGACGTAAATAGTAATACTTTACTATATAAATAACCCTTCGAAAGAATCTTTGACGATACTATTTCTGCTAACTGTGCCCCTTTTGCCAGTCTGATCTATTTGGAAACTGATCAGCCAGCCAACCACTAATCTAATTAAACAAACATACAAATAATTAACGAGATAGTGACTGAGAGTGATCGATCATCTACAACCATGAAAGGGTTTGGTATGGGGGAATTCTTTACTATATATATGATTTGGGGAAAGCTATTAACAATTAATTGATGATTAATGGCATAAGATAGGAGGATTTGCGAGGTGATTTGGGTGGTGGGAGTATGTAATTAATTAATTAAAGGGAGAGAAAAGGCAGCTTGCAGGCACAACAAATCGACAGTTTTGGTGTGCTATAGAGGATTACAAACAATAATAATACACATAATTGTTGTTCTGCATGTGGCCCAAATCTACCGTAGATATGATATCATTAATTTCTCTGCCCTTTGTCTTGACTTTTTATTGCCCCAAAAATAATGTTATGAACAACGAGACAATCCCCATGTAAAAAGTCAATGCAATATATATCCTAGTCACCAAATCATTTGAGAAATTGAGTGTGTATTCAAGAAGTGACGATTCGAGAGAGGCTACGTTTTAAACTCGAATTGAATGATGTTTTTGTTCTCAGACTTTTTCTGTGTCCATCTGGTGCATTATAACTCCCGGTGGGCCTTATGCCAAATGGGCTTAGTAATTAGTTAATTATTGTTAGTTAATTAGTTATTTAGAGATATTCGTATTAGTTTATTGTTACTTGTTGAGTAAGTTATTAGTTTACCTTGTTGGAGTGTGATAGGGTTAGCTATTAGGTTTTCCTACGTTTTCCTATAAATATGTACTTTGTGGTTTAGTTATGAATAAGAAAGAAGATTATTCCAGTAATTATCGTAGTCGTTTAGGAGTAGAAGTAAAGTAATTTAGCGATTCACGACGCGTGAATTCTATCACCCATTACCATCTCCTTTCTCCTTGGTTGACCGTACTGGCTATTATTTACTCTTAAGAGCTTTTTACTCGCGGTTTCTCAGTGTTTATTTCTTCAACGTACGTATACTTCCAAATGTTTGTTTGTCGTTGGAAGTTTGGTATAGTGATATATGGAAGGAGATGGGTGTTATTTTCCAATGACAAGAAAATCATGAATCTGAAAGGAGAAAGAAGTTATCGCGAGTTTTCTAGTACCCTCGACCCTCGATCTTCTCCCTTTCGTGTTTGATGA